ACCGATCTGGACATCAATACAGGGGCAACCGTGACAGGTCTGGACTATAAATTCCTCCATTCCGTTCCTCGTGATTATAACCGTGACTTTCTCTGAAAACAATTATAACTATTCGAATTAAGATTATAAAATTTTTATCAATACAATAATAAAATTATTTATTACTATATATATATTTTTCTTGAATGTTTTATTAGCAAATTTAGTCATTAAAACATAGTTATAATTTTATCTGGCTCTTTAGTTCAAGTTTTGACTTCGAATTTTATTGTAATATATTATATACATAATAATTTGTTTGAATTAAATTTATTAATGATTGATAATTTGGTTTTGTTTTAATTAATCACTTAAGAAAAATAAAAAATTCGGTTATCAATTAATATATAGTGAATAATGATCGATCACTATTAGTTGCAAGGGGTGCTATGTTATTTGATGTTCTTATATCGATATCTGCAATTTTAACGTTAAGTTTTTTTGCCTTTGATGCGTGTTTTTGGTGGGAATTCGCATTTTATTTATAGAAAAATAGTTATACTACGAAAGAATGACTCAATTATTTAAGTCCTCATTTCCGTTTATCATTCGGAATATTTCTCTTGTTATAACTTAATTATTTTATCCTCATTAATTATTTGCTAGTAGATGTTTATATTTTTGCTTATATTTATCAAGTTTCTTCGGTATATCGTTTGACTTCGTTTTTTTTTCAATACTAAAGTGTGGTCTGGTTTACTTCATATTTTAGGCACCTAAGCTTGAATTTGTTCAATTGTATTATACAAGTCTAATATTACGGTTTGTAAATCCGGTGGAATAAAATTGACTCAATTTTCTCAATACTGCTTTTTTTTTTTATTACTAACGCTAATGTATAAAATTACTATATATCATCATACGTAGAGAAAAAATTTATTAACGTTAATTTCAAGTTTCTACTATTCACGGGGCATTGATTCAGCCACATGATAAATTCGAGATTATAAGCAGGGAATACGTAATGCGATGATGTATTCGGTTACACATGACTTTGATAAAATCCCTAGAAATCAATAAACTCGGTTTAATCTAACTCTCGTATACAGAAAAAGTCATGGTTGGATTAACTTCTGCAGGTATAATTTCTCAAATTATTTGAATTATATTATTAGCAATGCAGTATTAATTTGCTTATATTAAAGGTGGCATTATTGCCTTACTCGAGGAACCGGAAGAGGAACTCAAAATATATGCTTTGAAAAAATTGAACGAAATTGTCGATCAATTTTGGGCTGAAATTTCTGATGCTGTTCAAAAAATGTAAGTGAAATTTTTTTTTACGAATTCAAGAACAGCGTATAAAATGCTAGACAGCATCTTTGCGCTCAAAAAAATACCCTTTTTATGTTATCTTCGAAAAAGTGGAACACCACATTAGTTGGTCTACTTATACACCAGCGCATTTTCGTTACAAGGGGCTCACTTTCTTGGGATCTCCTTGTCTTGTCATTCATAGCGAAATTCTTTACGAAGATGAGAGCTTCCCCCAAAGACAATTATCCGCTCTTGTTGCTTCAAAGGTAATGTGCATTTTTCATATTAAAAAGAGCAAGATCGCGTCATTGCTGATGTTTCGTTATTCTAATCCTCAGGTTTATTACCATTTGGGAGAATTCGACGATTCTTTGACTTTTGCATTGGGTGCTGGCGATTTGTTTGACGCGTCCTCTAAGCTAGAATATGTGGAGACCATCATATGTAAGTTTTATATTTGATTGTAGCAAAAAAAGTCAATATAATACGAAAGTTAACGAAAATTATTTATATCAATTTTTTTTTTTTTTTATATAAATTTATACTAAATATTTAGCTAAATGCATCGATAAATATATCTCGTTACGTGTACAAGAATATGACAATCCTTCAAATGCTCAGCCAATAGATCCACGGTTACAAGACGTTGTTGAACGAATGTTTCAACGATGTTATGATGACGGGGAATATAAACAAGTAATAGTTATTTCAAAACATATAAAATATTTTAAATTTTGAATCACTTATCAAATGTTTATATTCAAATAGGCAATTGGTATCGCATTGAAAGCCCGTAGATTAGATGTCTTTGAAGAGGCAATAAACAAAGGCCCATCTTCTGAACTCTTGGCCTATGTTTTAGATTTGAGTATGACATTGGTTCTCAATTTAGATTTTAGAAATAAGGTTAATTATTTAATAGATTTATAAACATTCGTTTATATTTTGTCACTAAGGATTTAAATTCATAACTATATCTATTTTTTTTTTAGGTTCTATGGTTGTTGGTAAAATTATATCAAAACCTTGCGGAACCTGATTATATATCAATCAGTCAATGCTTTGTACATTTAAATGATTCTTCATCGGCTGCTAGACTATTACAAGATCTTGTTACAAAATGCGATGATGTATTTATACTTTATTTTAACAAATTTTTCAGTTTTACAAAAGATTTAATGTTCTTATGTATATTTAATATTAATTATTTTGTATTATTACTAAATCGCAGGCTTTGTTATTGATGGCTTATCAAATTGCATTTGACCTTGAAGAAAACGCTACTCAAGAGTTTCTTCAAAGAGTTATAAATGAATTACCTGTTGGGTCATCATCGTCATCTACTCATCATGAAAAACAAGATGGTGAAGCTATGGAAACTGACGAAACTGAAGTAATTATGTAATTTATTTATTAAGTTCTCGTTAAATTTCAACTTTATCATATATTAATTTTTACCAGTCTGCTAGTCAACCGGATGAAAAGTATGTCCGCATTCGTAATATATTGTCTGGGGAAGAATCTATCAAATTACACTTGGAATTTTTGTATCGAAATAATCATACCGATTTACTTATTTTGAAAAACACTAAAGTATGATATATTATTTTTTTGGTTTTAATTTTAATTAGTATCAGTTTTTAATCAACTTTTAATTTTTTATAATAGAATGCATTAGAATCTCGAAATTCTGTGTATCACTCTGCTGTTACATTTGCCAACGCGTTCATGCACGCTGGAACAACAAGCGATGAATTTCTTCGTCAAAATCTTGAATGGCTTTCGCGTGCCACAAATTGGTCAAAATTCAGTGCTACTGCAGCTCTTGGTGTAATACACAAAGGACATTTATCTCAGGGACTCACTTTACTGCAACCATATTTACCACAAGACGGTGTAAATGGAAGTTCATATTCAGAAGGCGGCTCGTTATTCGCTCTGGGATTAATTCATGCGAATCATGGTGCCGGTGTATTGGATTATTTACGAAATGCACTAAGAAATACACAAACTGAAGTTCTTCAACATGGTGCATGCTTAGGTCTCGGTGCAGCTGGGATGGCAACCGAAAATAATGGTATTTTATCAACAGTTTCATTTAATACATTGGTTAATTATCCTATACATACATATATATAGACTTTATTTAATTCAAATAAAAACATACATATTTACATATATATATATGTATATATTTGTTTCATTAAGAGATATATGATCAACTTAGAGAGGTTCTCTTTAGCGATAGTGCGGTTGCGGGAGAGGCCGCTGGATTAGCTATGGGACTTGTCATGCTTGGTACCGCTTCAAAAAAAGCAATAGAAGAGATGCTACAATATGCACACGAAACTCAACATGAAAAAATTATTCGAGGATTGGCAATCGGTATTTCGCTA